GCTACATATAGACTAGCAGCTTAATTATCTTTTCCATATTGTTCTCTTATTGTTTACAAAAAAGAAAAAATCAATTTTTAATCGAGATCGTTGATTCTCTTCTCTAGTGTACATAATCTTCAATTCCTTTTTTAAGGCCAATTTACGGCTACAGGAGAGGGAAGACAATGAATAAAAGTGCACGGCTGATTCAACTGCTTGTTTCAATCACGACAGATGAGATGAAGTTGTGAAGAAGTTTAATGAAATGATCTTCAAGTCTATATTTTCTCTTGTTGGAAATTATGGTATCTACTCCTGTTAAGAAGGGATTCGAAGTTCAAATGATTGTTAAATGGAGCAGTTCTTCACACTTATATTTAAGAAAGTAGCGATAAATTGAATTTATATTTATAGTAAAAATTATTATATTTTTAATTTTCGGTTAAGATAATTTATTATATAATATTCTGCCACAATATTTGATATGAATTTTTTTATTTGTTTATATATTTTTGAAGAAATGTAACAAAAAATTTGTCATAAAAAACATAACATGTAGCTAACTTGCTTCAATATTATTGATAAGAAATATTCATAACAATGGATAAATATATATATATATATTTTTATTATTATATTTTTGTGACAAATTATGTGACAGTTTTTAAGTATAACAAAATTTTATAGCTATATCAATATTTTTCTGAGGTGATATATATTATTTTTCATTACAAAATATATATCAAAATATTATTAAACAAAAACTCAAATCTAATACTACATTTCAAATCAATTTCAAACGGCAGCCAAACAAATTCATACCTGAGTGGTTCGTCGGGGAGCTGTTCGGCGGAGTTACCGGAAAAGATAACGTGGGGCTATACTGAGGTAGATCAAGGAATCGAAACCTGTCCAAGGGAGAATGCCGCAGTTGGTCGTTGATTAAAATCGCTGGGCATCGGAAGTTTACCATAGCCGGCAGGACGATGTCAATCTGTTGCTGTTCGTCGGAGGCTGCGGGAGAAGATGACTGCTGTCTGAAGCGAACCGTCACCGGAGGAAGCCTTCTGCTGCTGGTGCTGTCGACGCCACCGGAAGCACTGCGAGCCGCCGCTGATCGATTTCTTCACAAGATGAAATTGAATATCTCCCGGTTGAGAATATACCAAAACAAGAAGTGCCCTTTTCAATTTAAGGCTCTGCTTGGCTCTGTATTCAGTTCCAGAATATGTCTGTATGTTTTAGCTTTTTGATATGTGTTATTTTCAGTTTCGGATCGAGTACCTTCTTCTTTCCTCTTTTCTTCCCCTTCGAAATCCTCTACGTTCTTGTGCTAAAAATCGATGGCGCTTGTACATCGTACCAATCCGGATCGCCCACCTTCTTCTTTCCTCCTTTCTTCCCCTTCGAAATCCTCTCGTTCTTCCTAACGACCATTGTGGCAGAGCCAACCGGCCCAACCCAATTAGTCCATTTTATCTGTTAGAGTGGTTATAACTGTAAGGTAGTTAGGCGTAAGTTATTTCACTTAACTGAGTGAGATTAATTAGTTTAGAGAGTTTGTTAGATGAGTTTCTTTGTGAGAATTGTTGGAGTCCTGAAGTTGGTCGCGTGGAGAAGAATCGATTGAGTCGAAATCCAGAGTTGTTCCCCGGAGAAGAAGATAGACGCGGTTGATCAGTTCCAAAGCAGGAGGAGGATCGGAGCTGCCAAAGGAAGCCGCTGGGAGATGACCCGACTGTTTCTGGAGCCGGAGTGGCGCGGATCGATCGGTCTGCTTTTTTGGCTGAATCGACTGGATCGGAGGAATCATTGATTTTCAGATATCTGTCTCGCCTCAATATCTGTTTCTTGATGTAGTATTTGATATGTATTTTGATGTTGATTTTAGTTTGGATTTAGATTTGATATTATTAAATTATGATTATTCCAATTTGAAAATATAAAAATGATCCCAATCTTATGACTATAAATTAATCCCTAACCTATAAATACCCCAATATATCACTTTCATTCTGTCATAATTCAATCTCTCGTAAATAATCTTCAGTCTTCTTTTCCCTCCCAGCTTTGATAGCGACTCATTTTCACGACGCACTCTTCCAGAAGCCTTATCAAAGGTTTGTTTCTTTAATCTTGAACCCCAGCTTTTTACCTGCTATTTTTTCATCTCACAAAATATCCCATCATACCTTATTTTAATACTAAATCTAAACCAAAATTTACATTTATCTTTCATATCTTAATTGCGTAGAACATCAATGGCTCCTCCAACCATGATCAAATCTACTGTCCAAACAGCATTAACTGTCCCCCAACAACCTATGAATGCCAATATGGGGAGTAATCCAGTGGTCTATGGGTGTCCGTCGTATTATAATAATGTAAATTTGAGGACGATACCGTTTCTTCAATCGATGCCGACGATGCCGTTTCTTCCATGGACGCCAATGATGCCATTTCTTCCATGGATGCCGATGCAACAGCCGCCTATAATAAATTATAGAGCGCCTTTTATGCCAAGTATATCCAAAATATTTAATTTTTTTTTTTCAAATTATATTATATTATATATATATTTACTTTTGCATTAATATATTTTCAGATTATTACTTTGCTCAACAAACAATGGTTCCATATCAAGTCCATCCAACTGTTCATCAACCTCCGCCAATAGTCATTGTTGAGAAGTCTTTGATGGAAAAAATAATAAAGCAAATCGAATATTATTTCTCGTAAGTTGTATTATCAATTATTATTATTATTATTATTATTATTATTATTATTATTATTATTATTATTTTGATAATTTTAAATTATTTTTTAGTGATGACAATATGGCTAAAGACATTTATTTGAGATCAAAGATGGATAAAAATGGTTGGATATCAATCGAACTGATATCAACTTTCAATCACGTAAGTACATATACAATATATATCATGTATTTTTAATTTTTTTGGGTGTGTTTGTTTTGTTAAATAGTTTGAAGTATTTTTTTTTTATGTAAGTTATGGAATTGTGTAGATAATATAAAAATAATAAATATGGTGTAATATATGATTTTTTTTTTTTTGAGAAAATATGTTGGAAAAACACACAAAACCAACACACCCTTATTTATTTCATACAAATATGTTCACTTATAATTTTAGAATATAATTACTCATTAATTTATTTATTGAAATTTTCAGATTAAAGTATTGACGAACGACATTCCAACAATTTTAGAATCTCTCAAATATTCACACTCCGTAGAAGTTAACGTAAGTATTACCTAATTATTATATTTTAAGTTATACTTATATAATTATTGTATTCAAATTCATATATATCTAAAATCTTATTTACATGTTTTATATAGGGTTTGATGGCAAGAAACCGTCATACATGGAAAAAATGGGCCAATGCTCGAATCTCTCAAGCCCTTCTTGATCAAACAATGAACAACTGGCGTGCCAATTAAACATCCATAGCTAGTGTTTCTAATTGTAGAATTTATTTTTTTGCATCTAAATATTACTTCATCTATCTACCATTTTTATATTAATTTTTTGAATTGAACACGAATTTTAATGAATATATTCCTATACTTGTTTTTTTGTAACATTATTTAAGGAATATTTTGAATAAACTATTAGTAAGTTTTTTAAGGTAAGCTTGAAAATATTGTATGTTCATTTATTGCAAGGCTTTTATTTGTGTAAGTATTGTACTTGCTCGGACTAAAATAAATATATTAAAAAAATTTATATATTAAAAAAGTTCTACTTGCATAAATATATATATATATATATATTTAACTTATACTATTATATTACTCAATAGTCAATACTAAGGATTTGTTTGGCAGTATTATTTTTTATATTACTCTACATAAAAAGAAAAAAAAATTCAAATTAAGATACTAAATAAATAAACCAAAATGTTTTTTAAAAAATTATAATATCAAATATATGTATATTGTAAAATATCACAGTCAATTATTGGGACTACAATTTTATTGTTTTTTTTTATCATCAAAAGTATTTTTTTTTTTATACAAGTTTTAATAAGATTGTGTACTTTTATTATTTTTATAGTAAAAATGTATAATATATTTTATCAAAAAATAAAAAAATTAACATTTTTATGATAATTTTTATAAAAAAAATTAAGACTAAAATTAAATGATAGAGAAAAAATATATACTATTTATCTTTATAAAATATCACTCAAATCATTATTTAAATTAACATTCAAATTTTCAAATACAATAAGTGTGTGTTTGTTTGGGGGTTTAAAATTTAAGTTGGGATTTGAATAGTAAAAGTTTGAATTTGAAAAGTTGTATAATGTGAATGCAAAATTGATTTTTAATATAATATAAAAAATAAAAAATAGGTATTTGATTTGATATTTTTTGGGAGAAAAAATTAGAATGAATAATGTATTTACAATCCAATACCAAAACGAACACAATCTAAAAAAATCTTTGAAACAAGATGTTCATTTACAGCAAAATTTAAAGAAAAAGACCCACGGATTCATATAAAAAAAATTCAAATCAAAATATTAAATAAATAAATTTGAAGGTGGCGTTCTTTTGTGAATTTTATCACCTATTTTTATTGTTTAGATCTTTTTTTTTTCCAAAAGACATAGCATCAAATAATTAATTTTCTTTTTATATATATATATTATACTACAAATTTATTATATATTTAAAATATATATTTATATCATATAAAAAAATGTTTAAATTTAATTTTTTACTATTAAAAAATTCAAATCCAAAATTACAAACCCACAAACAAAAACATTTTTTATTATTCATAATTTTTTTAAAAATAATAAATCAAATTTATATTTATGTTTTGTATATTATATTATATAATTATTTAAAATTTAAACAGCAAACCAACACACATCGGGTCTTAGATTTTATCGGATAAGATAGGATCCGGATAATCGGATCAAAAAAACCCGGATCCTCAACTCCTGAAGTCATATCCGACCATTGACATGACATCCACTTAAACCCTAGATTGGTGTTCGGGCCGGGCTGGCCCGCTTCCACCGTAGTCGTCGGTCCGCCGCACCAATTGAAATCGAGTTCTCAAAAACAATTTATAGTAACAGCAATTGCGCCTCCATGAGTTCCTCGCAGTTTAGCAGCCTATTGCTTCCGCCGGTGTTCGCTCCGCAGCTTCGTCGCCTTTCTTTCCTCCAGTCTCACTTTGGTGCCAACGGTGAGTCTGTATTTTGTTGCCTGCGAAACGTTACTACACGTTTGTTTGTTTCCGAGTGGTGATATTTAGTCATGGAGTTTTCATTTTAGAAATGTTAAAAGTGGAATAGGAGTGCCGGAACTTATATATACTTCTGATTCTGAGCGTGTGAATGGTGGATTTTAGATTTCAGTAAATTTGAAACAGGAAATGCTAGGGCATGCGCCGTGTAGAACTGTAGATAGAACTTTCATGAAAAAATGTTCATGATCATGTTAGCATATTGGCATTTAGCAGAGGTGCACCATTTGCGACTCCAGTTCTATCTATTGGCAGAGGTTTTCATCTGATTACTGTGAATATAAGTGTTGAAGAGCTTTCGTAATATAGATTTTAGAATAATTTCAATATATAAAGTAGTGCTATATATATATCAAGACATGGTATCTTTATAACTTGATTTTGTTTCCTATTTTTCCATTATGATAATCTGTGCAATTGAGGCGCTTTTTTACTAGTTTCTACCCTCTAGAGATTTTTCATTTCAAAATTCTAACTAGTAATACAGTAAACTTGCTTGTATGAGGGCTAGTGCTCCAACTACTAGAAAAAAAAAACGCGTGGGCATCACTGAGGTTTCTGTAGCCGCTGCTTAAATTTTTTGGTATGCCAATGTTTGTAATTTCCATAATGTTTTTTGTTGTCATGAAACTAGACAGGTACTCTTAGGAATTCCTGCAGTCCTCTCCTTAGAGCTAAAGAATCGTCCTTGAGGAGTATGGCTACGGTAAGTTCTCAAACATTGCATCGATGTTTCATTTGTTTAGTAAAACACTAAATGCAGTCATACAATCAAAGAGAATTATGATCATGTTAAAAATATTCATATTTGTATGCATTTACTAGACCAATGAAAGCCAATTTAGCCTTTGACTCGTATGCCTGTCATAAACCTGGTTTGATATCGTGAAACAGGATGAAAACATCGTTGGAAGTGTTAGACAACAACTTGCAAAGTTGTTTGAAGAATCCTTGAGAGTTACAGTTCCTGAGGAGTTGGATGTGGATCCTCTTATTGCTCCATGCCAAAATGCTAAATTTGGTGACTATCAATGGTATTACTCATTCTTTCTCTCATTCATCAAATTCTTTTCCTTTTTCACGTATTGAAAAAACACACAGTGTGTCTCTAGACTGGTGGAGAAGCCAATCATGTGGACCTTATTTGTGATTGCACATTTTGGAATTTTTTTTCTTCTTGATACAGCAATAATGCCATGTCTCTGTGGTCGAAAATTAAGGGAAAGGGTACCCAGTTCAGAGGTCCTCAACCAATAGGACAGGTGTTGACAAGTATAAAGCCTTTCTTTTAATTCTCAAGTAATTACATGTATAGTGCTGGCATGAATTGTATGTTTACTTCATTACTTGTGTTTCCTTCATAGGCCATTATGAAGAACCTTCCTGCATCAGAGATGATAGATTCCTGCTCAATTGCTGGAGCTGGCTTTGTAAATGTTGTGTTATCTCGCCAATGGATTGCTGAAGTAATTACTGCATTGCCAATTTTAAAGTGAAATATACTAATCTCCTGTGAAACTCTTATGATTTTATTACTTAAATGGTGCAGAGCATTCAAAAAATGCTAACCGATGGGATTGAAACATGGTCTCCTAGGCTACCTGTTAAAAGGGCCATAGTTGATTTTTCATCACCAAATATAGCGAAAGAAATGCATGTTGGTCATTTAAGATCAACAATAATCGGAGATACTCTGGCCAGGATGTTGGAATACTCAAATGTGGAGGTTCTTCGAAGAAACCATGTTGGAGACTGGGGGACACAGGTATTATCTTCATGTTGCCAGCCACAAATGGTTACATCCTTCCTTTTTGGTCATTAATATGTTCCCGTACTGCTGCATGTATGTTGTTGTGAATCTATTAGCTTTTCTCACAGTCCCTTTGTTCTGAATTTGTGTTTTTATCATTTTCCTCCTAGAAAACTGCAATATTTAATTTTTATTTTTCCTTGATGCTGATACAAAGCAATTTTTCAATATTGGAGTGCAATTTCCTGGAAATGAGTAATGTTCATTGCAAGTATATCATGTTTTCTGATGTTGGCTTAATTCTTTCCAGTTTGGTATGCTTATAGAACACCTATTTGATGCATTTCCACATGGGGAAGTTAGTGATCAAGCCATTGGAGACCTGGAGGTGAGGTGAAATAATTAAGTACTCGTCTGTCCTTACCTTGTGGATTTACACTATCCCTTAGACAATGGCATAGTAGTGCATGTAATTTCTGTATGTTGATCAAATACTGATGTAGTGATTTATTGTAGTTCATTAACTGAGTGAATTGTCATGTGGAATCACATAATACACTTCATTTTTGCTAGTACTTCGTCAGGGAACTTCTGAATGTAAAGAGAAGCATTTTGTTTTTTACTGCATTATGTATTATCAAAGCCAAAGTAATCTGATTCATTGCATTTCCCTCTCTAGAACACTATCTAGTCACCAACATAATTAGATCTTCATCTTTGGCATGTTAGAGGTGAATTCACACCACATTATAGTCAATGAATCTTTGGGCTTTTTATTTTTGTCTTTTTACTATTTCATTTGCTCCTATTTCTGACTTTCCTGCCTTTTCAGACGTTTTACAAGGCCTCAAAGCAGAGATTTGATAGTGACCCTCCTTTCAAGGAGAGGGCTCAACGGGCTGTAGTAAGTCTTCAGGTAATTGTCTGGGTTGCTTAAGGATTATTTTGGGTAATTTCTTGCCTATTTTTTGTTGTTCTGCTGCGCAATACTCAGCAAGAAATAATGATCTCAGTTTCTAGTTGTGTTCAACTGCAGCTTTCTGTTTATACTCTCTGTACATGTTTTATCTTTATTGCAGGCTGGAGATGAGAGATATCGAAATGCATGGGCTCAAATTTGTGAAATTAGTCGAAGAGGCTTTGAAAGGGTTTATGAACGACTTGGGGTTCATTTAGAGGAAAAGGTATTAAAGGAACTTTGCTTTAGGTTTGCTAGTGCTTCCCATTTGAAGCTTTTGGAAGATATTTTCTGCATCATGTGATCCCTAGAGGTTTAATGTGCCAATTTTACATTGTATTTCTGGTGATTCAGGCAATACTTAGTTTGTTTTCTCAGCTGCCTTGTAATATCCATTGCTTTAATCAATTTTCACTCTTCACCAGGGATGAGGCCCTTACAATTTATAGGATATGTCTATAATGTTATTTTGTTTGCACGTGTTTTCAATTTCTGCTAAATATGCATTTTTATTTTTATTTTCTCATCTGCAGGGGGAAAGCTTCTACAATCCTTATATACCTGGGACTCTTAAGCTATTGGATGAAAAAAAATTAATTCAAGAAAGTGAAGGTGCTCGTGTTATTGTTATTGAAGGGAAAAATATACCATTTATTGTTGTCAAGAGGGATGGTGGATACAACTATGCCTCGACTGATCTTTCTGCTTTATGGTGAGTCTGTTTCCATTACTTTACTGACTGATGTTTGTGTGTGGAAGCTTTCTCCATTCCAATCTTATTCTATCATAATATGCATGCCACGCCTTTTGTTATTGTCTCAGATCATCGGCTGAATGAACTTTGATCTAAATGTCTTCACATGTTTCTAATAGGGTTGGCATCAATATTTATAATCATCACCTTAGTTGCTCGGTCTGATGCATTGCAACAATCATTTTGTGATATCAGAACCTGTACATATAGTTTATAAGCTCTTTGTTGCATGAATGATTTAAAGCGCTTTTACTTCAAGACACATGGGGTGCAATTTACAGGTACCGACTAAATGAGGAAAAGGCTGAGTGGATTATATATGTAACTGATGTTGGTCAGCGTGAGCACTTCGAAATGTTATTTACTGTAAGTATGGAGTCCTGATGTATTGCATGCCTATATATGTTGATATGTGTGGCTAAAAGCCTATCTGCAATATTCTTTCAGGCTGCCAAATTAGCAGGTTGGCTTCCAGCAGAGGATAATAAGTATCCTAAAGCTAGCCATGTAGGTTTTGGGCTTGTCCTGGGGGAGGACGGGAAGCGGTTCCGTACTCGCAGTACTGAAACTGTCAAATTGGTTGATTTACTTGATGAAGCCAAAAATAGATGCAAAGCTGCTCTAATCGAAAGAGGTATAATTTTCTTCTTTTATAATTATTTTAAAGTCTTTAAATATATTGCGTAAACTACTTTGTGCTCTGAAATTCGAAAAAGCTGAGTTCTTCAATTATATCTCAGGCAAAGATAAGGAGTGGAGTGAAGAGGAGCTTGATAAAACTGCTGAAGCAGTTGGATATGGTGCTGTTAAGTGAGTAATCTTCTTCATGCCATAAAACATATATTATGTATATGAATGATAGCTTTCATTTCGTTCTGCATATTAGTTTAATGCATATTAGATCTGCCATATCTGCGGGATGCTTTATTTGGTTTTATTTTTGACTAATACTCCAAAACCTTGATGCATTTGCATGTGCTATTTTGTTCGGTTTGACAGGCAGGCTACACTAATCTTCCCATTTGATTTTCTTGTTATTGGATTTCTGATCAATGTATTTCATTTACCTTTTTTCACATGTTTGTATTACACAGATACGCCGATCTCAAGAATAACAGGACTACCAACTACACCTTTAGTTTTGACCAAATGCTCAACGACAAGGTGCGCGCCGTGCATTCCCTAGAAACATGAATCACATTGACGAAGAAAATGAATCCCACATATTAATTTGTTCTTTATTTGAATCAGGGAAATACTGCTGTCTATTTGTTATATGCACATGCTCGGATCTGCTCTATTATCCGGAAATCGGGTAAAGACATAGATGAATTGATAAAGGTAATCAGCCCTCTTTCCCGGGCAAGCAGCATTGCGTAGTTATTGCGCCATTGCCATCCGTGTAATGTTTGCCTATTTTCACACGATCTTATTTATGCTCGCAGACGGGAACTCTAGACCTAGCTCATCCCGACGAACGTGTATTAGGACTTCATCTGCTCCAGTTTGCTGAGGTACTCTCAACTTGATCTTAGGATCCTCTTCTCCCTGGCATCAAAATATATACTTACTGTGTGTGTGTGTCTCTCTCTCTCCTCTTTCAGAAAGTTGAAGAGGCCTGCAACAATCTGTTACCCAATGTGGTGTGTGAATATTTGTACAATTTATCCGAAGATTTCACAAGATTCTACACCAACTGCCAGGTATGAATGAATAAATGAATCTGTTATGCATATATATATATATATTTACATGTGATATAACGGAGCCATTATTGTCTGAATCTTGAACAACTAAGCACCACTGCCATGCACAAAACATGCCATGATGTGGAATTACTTATTTTATCATCTTCATTATTGATATTTATATTTATTTATTTACTTGCAGGTTGTGGGATCAGCAGAAGAGACAAGCCGGCTGCTACTCTGCGAGGCTACAGCACGTGTCATGCGCATGTGCTTCCATTTGCTTGGAATCACTCCCGTTTACAAAATTTAAATCCCACCCCTCGTAATTTAAATGTATTAACATTATACGTGTTTCCATTTTTAATCACCATTTTGAACCAATTGAACTTTCTTCTTCAGTATATTTATTTGCCAATCTGTCGTGCAAAAATATATAGAAGGAATATTGAATTTATTTGTGAGATCCACATCCAGCTGTCAAGTTCCTATTGGTGCATTGCATTTGGAAGGCGTGGGTCCCGCCGGACGGCAATTTGAAATATACCTCACCCACTTGGTTAATAAATTAATATAAAATGCCGACTCGGTTTTGCTCTGTTCTGTTATCTCCCTACGGTTCTCTACAGTTTCACCGTGTGTCAATATGTCGGTGTAACGACTATAGTTATAATTGAACCGCATCGTACGAGAGTCACTGCAGGAAAAGCTCACGGGCCTCTTCAAATATCCCTTCCTCCCTCCATTTTTTGTCTCTCACTTGGCCTTCCCAGAGTGATTCCTCGGTCCCTCACGTTTTTTCTTTTTCTTGACTGAGAGAGGGAGGGAAACTGTGCAGTGACCATGAGAGAAATCTTGCACGTTCAGGGAGGCCAGTGCGGCAACCAAATCGGATCGAAATTCTGGGAGGTGATCTGCGATGAGCATGGCGTGGATCCGACTGGTAGGTTTAATGGCGATGAGGCATCCGCCGACACGCAGCTGGAGCGAATCAATGTGTATTTCAATGAGGCATCCGGCGGAAGGTACGTGCCACGCGCTGTGCTCATGGATCTGGAGCCGGGGACTATGGATGCTATCAGATCCGGTCCGTACGGGCAGATCTTCCGCCCAGACAATTTTGTTTTCGGGCAGTCAGGCGCGGGGAACAATTGGGCGAAGGGGCATTATACAGAGGGTGCGGAGTTGATTGATGCGGTGCTCGATGTTGTGAGAAAGGAAGCTGAAAACTGCGATTGCTTACAAGGTATTTCTTTATATGATATTTTTTTTGGAATATGAACACTGTTTTTCGTTTTGTTTAGATTTGGATCTGAATTTTGAAGTAGAATTCCAGTGTGTTGTTTTGATCTACCCGTGCTTTGCTTGCATATGTTTTCCTTTTCGGCGTGTGGATATTTGAGAGTTGATTCTGATTCTCATTGCAGGTTATTGTTATTGATTTTGGCTAGTTTGTCCTGCTGTGACTTTTGATTTACTTCGCGCTCTAGATTGAGAAACATTTGGTGTTGATTTAGCTTGATGATGTTATTTTGCTTGAAATCTTTTACTGTTTTCCGAAGATATCAATTACAGCATGAGATCTGATCCTCTACTACTTAACCTTTTCATATGCCTTAAATCTTTCTACCAGTCTTAATGTTAGTGATTCTTCTGTATGTCAGTTTGGAGATGCATAGGATCTATGATTTGAGCACAAATATAGTGGTCTGAAGTGCTGATTGTTAAACTAAATTGGTATGATAGGATTTCAAGTATGCCACTCTCTGGGAGGAGGCACTGGTTCCGGCATGGGTACCCTCTTGATCTCAAAGATCAGAGAGGAATATCCCGACAGAATGATGCTTACCTTCTCCGTTTTCCCTTCCCCAAAGGTCTCCGACACTGTTGTCGAGCCCTACAACGCCACGCTCTCAGTGCACCAATTGGTCGAGAACGCCGATGAATGCATGGTCCTCGACAACGAAGCACTCTACGACATCTGTTTCAGGACTCTGAAGCTCAGCACTCCAAGCTGTTAGTATTCACCCATTAATAAGTGCTCGTTTTGTCGCATTAAATTCTTTTGTTCTAAAAAGTTGACGATGTTTGCAGTTGGCGACTTGAATCACTTAATTTCCGCGACAATGAGCGGCGTGACCTGCTGCCTCCGATTCCCCGGCCAGCTGAACTCCGATCTCCGGAAGCTAGCCGTGAACCTAATCCCATTCCCGCGTCTCCATTTCTTCATGGTTGGATTCGCCCCTCTCACCTCCCGCGGATCCCAACATTACATCTCTCTCACAGTCCCGGAGCTGACGCAACAAATGTGGGACGCCAAGAACATGATGTGCGCCGCAGATCCGCGCCACGGACGCTACCTGACAGCCTCGGCCATGTTCCGTGGGAAAATGAGCACGAAAGAGGTGGACGAGCAAATGCTGAACGTGCAGAACAAGAACTCGTCCTACTTTGTGGAGTGGATCCCGAACAATGTGAAGTCGAGCGTGTGCGACATCCCTCCTAGAGGGCTGAAAATGGCGTCGACGTTCGTGGGGAACTCGACGTCAATCCAGGAAATGTTCCGGCGAGTGAGCGAGCAGTTCACGGCCATGTTCCGGCGAAAGGCGTTCTTGCATTGGTACACGGGAGAAGGTATGGATGAGATGGAGTTTACGGAAGCGGAGAGTAATATGAACGATTTGGTTGCAGAGTATCAGCAATATCAGGACGCCACCGCCGACGAGGACGAGGAGGAGTACGAGAACGAAGAAGGCGCGGAGCAGGAATACGATGCCTAAGACATGAGTGAGTATCTCTCTCGACTGGTCTGTTTTTTTTAAGTATATGAAATTGAAATTGGTGTTTTCCATTGGCTTTATGCGTCGTTTTCTGTATTGGCTCTCGTCTTTTCTTCTTCTTCTTCTTCTTCCTTTGGAAAGGACCTTTATCGTTTTCTGGCTTTGGTTTGTGGGAATGCTTATGTTGGGGGTGGTTGGATTTATATATATATCGACAGCTGGCTGATGGTTCTTGTCTATATATTTATTCTTTTTTTTTTTAATGTAAGTATATAAATTAACTAAATAAATTAATAACATAATGAAAAAACAATACTCTAGCTACTTAAGAGGAGCTCCGGTTAAGAAGGGCGGTAGTGGTGTAGAGGTTGCAAAAATTTGAAAAAATTTAAAAATAAGTATTTTGATTTGATGATTTGTGAGATAAAAAATATATTAATATGATATTTTTGAAAAAATAAATAGTGTCAAATAAATGAAAATGTGTGGTGTAAACCGAGTCTATATCAACATTTTTTTGTTTTAAATAATTCAAAATCTTACCAAATCTAAAATCATATAAATAAAAGAGGGTGGTGTGAGTCTTTTTGAGTTTTTTTCTTTTTTTCACTTTATTGTCAATATATCTATAGATGTTATATGGATATATATTTTATACTGAAATTAATTATAATATATATATTACTATCATTATCGTTCAAATGTCCTTTCATTTGACTTGATAGAAGTTCTACTAAAAATATGTACAAATAGATTTTATTTTTTTTATTAAAAAAAATAGAATAAAAATAAATTTAAATTACAGATAAGGTATATAGATTATTCTTTTATAATGTTAGTTTATAACATGTTATATTCGTATTATACTATTAATATAAATTGTATAAATTATGTGTTATCAATATTGTGCTGAATCAATGGCAACCCTCTTCAACTATTATCTCTACTCGCTAGTCACCATTTCGTTTAATTTTCATTTATCGAAATTCGATTTTATATAGACCACAATGTATTTAATATCCGGACAAACAAAGTTTTATTCGGACGAAAATTCCTACCCATAAATAACAAACAAACACCCCAACTTCCCTACAGATTCTCCAAAAACTAAAATATAATATTCTTCCTATCATTCAAATTTATTTATTTATTTATTTTTCTTTATAATAGCCATTTAAATTTATTGTCGTTTTTTAGTAAATTTTTTTTTTTTTACTTTTTCACCCAAAAAAATAAAAATTTTTATTTTTATTTAATTTTTTTAAAATACTTGTCGAGTACACTAGCTGATGAAGTAATAAATAACGAATTTTTCTGATAAGGAAACGTGGCGCTGATCGCAGCCGTAGATCAATTTTTCAATGGACGAATATATTCTCTTCTTCTTAAACTAAATTTCTACCCAAAAGAGAGAGCATCAATCCCTTCAAAATAAATAAATAAACATCACCAAGCTCTTCAATAACAATCAATCAATAAATGATCATCAGAAATTGCAGAGTGAATCAAAGAATTTAAGTTCAAATTTATAAGAATTGAAGAAATTGAATCATCAATTCATATTAATTAATGGGTTGGTTTGTGAGAGAAAAGAGGGGTGAGGGTGTGAGCTGGAAGGACCAAACCCTAGATTCACTATCTCTGCCTCCTTCGCCATTGCTGCTCTTCTTCCTGCTCTTCCTAATGTTCATCTCCATCGCAACTTATTCCGAGCTCAAGGGGAGGATGGAGAGGGGAATCATGGCCTTTAGGCTGCCTCTCCTGCTGCTGCTGCCGTTGATCGCCGTCGCCGTTTTGATGCTCGGCAGCTGCAGCAGGTGGCGCCGCCTAGATGCCGCCGGAGGCCTGCCGCCGTTGGGGCTGGCGGCGGCGGTGGTGGTGCTGCTTGTGCTGGCTTATCATCAGTCGTCGTTTCAGTCGGGATGGTTTAGATCCATTTAGGGTATCATTAATTGATTTATAATTTATATATCTATATAATTCAATCTTGTTTAATAATTTTGTGCATGCCATCATGTATATATATATATATATATGTCATATGTGTGTTTTAATTTAATTAAGTTATGTATGTACCATCGTAATACTAATTTTAATTTCGTTTCTGAGTTAAATTCATGTGTTCAGTCAAATATTTATGCAGATCAAATTCTCCATATAAATATTGTTAAAAAATGGTAAGATATAAAAATATAACTACCTATAATATATACTTTCTCGTCCCAAATCAAGAGTGTCACTTGGGATTTCGTAGAATAGTACTCCCTCCGTCATGCAAATATACTCATTTGACCGGACACGAATTTTAATAAAAGTGAGTAATAATTGTTAATTTTTCATTTTATAGTAAAAAATAGTACAAAAGTAGAATGATTTTTTACTTTAAAAAAAATAAAAATATTTTTCGATGATAACCGAAAAAAAATAAAAATTAATCATAGTTTATCTGTGATTGATTTATATCACAATCTTTATAATTCAATCTGATAATTATTTCATTTCAAAATTGAAAAAAAATATATAAATATACATACATATTCTACAAACCCAAATTGTAATCAAAATTTTAGATTCAATCAAAGGAACACACAGCAGAGAAAGTTGAAAAACAAGTTCTAATAATCCCAGAAATTTACACATGAATTCTTTCTACATATACATTTTGACAGCAATAGTATCATATCATATCATATAATTAGCTTCATACAACACAAGGAGACGATGACTTACTCGCGAGCATTTCGAATTTGCATCTTCGAATCGAGAGGAGAGGATGAACACCATCATAATCATTTCTTGATCTTTTTACTCGAACGACTGCTTCCCTGCGCAAAAAACACACGATTAATCCATCATAAAAAAAAAAAAAAAAGACATAACTTTTACATGGCACGATCGATACCTTTGTAAACAATCGCCTCGCAGGAGCCTTTCCCCCAGTCGACTTCCGAGCCGTGGGCTTAATGTGAGACCTCTACACAAACCGAAATAAAACAAACTGTTAATTTGAAGTTTTGGAATTTTGAAAAATTTTAAGAATAGTGCCAAAAGTTCGAAAAAGTGTTCGTGTAAAAGCGAATCATATAAAATTTTTCGATAACACGAATTAATAGAGGATATACGAGCAATTAAATTTATCCCTTTTCTTACCATGGGAGAAAAGCTCTTCCTCTCTAACTGCGTACGATGATGATCCATTGCGACAATCTTATTATCATCAACTGTGTACGATGATGATCCCAATCTTGATTTTAAATGTTCGATTTCTTTCAAAAGCCGCAATATTTCCTCGCCTTTTTGAACCGACTCTGTTTCCTTTTTACCCAATTCTGCTCTCAGTTCTTGATTTGATGATTCTAAGCTCTCTTCTTTGTCCACAAGGATTTTCATCTTTTCATTTACTTTCTCAACTTGGTCGTTCTTCTTCCTTAATCGATCGGAAAAGTCTCTCTCCATTTTCACACTCTGATTCTGAATAAAACTCTTCTCTGATTTAAGAGCAGAAATCTCAGTCTCCTTCTCCAATCTATATTCGTCGAATTCACTCTTCAGCTTCCTAACCTCATTTTTTAGAGCTCGATTTTCGCCTTCATCACAAACATCATTTGATTCAATCTGCACAATATTATTTATGTACTCTATAAGCAACACGCCATTGAAAAATCAATAATCCGGGAACCGTAAGAGAAAATATAAGAACTCACATTAGGCTCCAAATGTTTTTCGGAGAGATATTCGAACCATTCTCTAAAGTCGGCGAGATCGTTCTCCGAATTCTCTACAAACAATGGTAGATTTTCTCATCTGAATTTTGCTATACAATAGTAGAAAATATTGAAGAAGAAAAAATCATTAGAAGCACAGGCTATTAAACTATTCCACCAATCACACAATTGGTAAATTTTGGAATTTTTCAAAAGAAAATATCACATCGATGTTTTACCATTCTCAAAATTTTACAAAACTACAAAAGTTTGGAAACTTTCAGAACCAGATGATAACAATAGAATTGAATTTTCTTTTTTTGGCGAATCTTGCTTTCGATGAACAATGTGAAATTTGAAATAAGCAAACTAACCGTATCGAAGATGATAAATGAAAGCCTCTCGATCTTTCAAAGCAAACATGAGTTCCCCTTTCGAAGAATTAACTTTCTGCTCCATCTTCATCTGTATTAAAAATCAGTAATAATTAAAACCCTAATTTCTGCCCCAATTATTAGGGTTTACGCAGCCGAGCACAAGAAAGGGAAATTGTACCTTATATATAACTTCGTTCAAAGATTTAATCCTTTCTTCAAGAAACTGGCGATCTCTCTGCAGATTCTGAGACAATTTCACCAATGCGGTGAAAATTTTGTTCCAATTTTTTTCACGGTCAGGTGCTTCGTTCCGGGATTTGCATCTCCCCATTGCAGAGATATGAAATTTACAAGAAAATAAATGAAAAGACTTAATTAACACAGTAGGAATGAAGGATTTCTTCCCCCAGATGAAGAAAGAAAGCAGAAGAGCGAGGGAATTCAAAATTGAGCCAACGGTCGAAATTTGTCACAACGGTCGGAAATTTGGGGGATGTAGGTTTTATGACGTTGCTCTTTTGGGGATTATGGAGTTCGTATTTATATTTATAGTTAGGGTGTGTTTGTTTGGGAGTTTGGATTTTGGATTGGGATTTGAACAGTAAAAATTTTGAATTTGAATAGTTGTATGATGTGATATAAATAGGTGTTGATGTGATGTTTTGAATGTAAAATTGATTTTTAGTATAATATAAAAAATGAAAAATAGATGTTTGATTTGATTTTTTGGGGGAAAAATTTTGGATGAACAGTAGAATTTTGATAAAATCCTACAACCGAACACACCCTTAAATAATATATTAATATAAGTAATATTTTGTGATATATAAAAATATATATATTAACTAATATGTTACCCAAAATATTACTACATTCATCTAAGATATTTTGAACTTATTACCGCAGATATAAGAATTTAGAATTTAGGTAAAATATAATTAATAGATAATTAAAAATATATTAATAAAAATAATTATTATTTAGTAAAAGTAATTATAAATTAAGAAATAGTTTAATTAAAATTAAAAAAATTATAAAATTTAAAATATAGTTAAAATGTATAATTATATTTTCAAAAATAGAATAGACAAGTTAGGTAGGACGAACGAAAATAAAAATATGGACAAATTATATGGGACGAAGGGAATATTTGAATAAAAATATACGTTTCATATAAATCATAACAAAATTAAATATTAGATTTAATATCATAGACTCTATTTACATAATCAAATTTTGTTTATTTGTTACTATTTATTTTAATAAAACATGGCATCATATATATTTTTTATTTCACAAAATATTGTATCATATAATAATTTTTATTTTTAAAATTTCAAAAGTTTCCAAAATTTTGGTCAAATCAAAACTTTTTTCTTACTTTCTTTTTTTTTTTTTTTTTTTTCTTTTTATTTCATACATGATTTTAAATTTTTTTTAAGAAATCGAAAAATCCATTGAATTCCAACAGGTTTATTCTGATAATCATCGAAAAATATTTCGAACTATAACAATATTGAATAGAATTTAGAATGATTAAAGAAAAAGAAAAGCCCTAAATCTTAATTATGATATGATCCCTTATGAAATTCTTTTGGGATTTGTTTCTTTGGGATTGGAATCCAATTTGTGGTTCCAAAATAGTAAGGCTTTATTTTTATAGATTTTTTAGATTTTCTTTAATTCTTGTAAAGAATAAAATATTAAGTATTTTATTTAATATTTTGTAAATATATATATTGGATATAATAGTTGTTTAAAAGAAAATAATAATATTGTTTATTATAATGCAAAAAGAGCCCAACTTTTATCATTTCAATACAATTATTCACCGATATTTTTAGTCTTTTTTTATATAATTTGAAATGTGAATTTTTTTCTTTTTTTAATAAAATATTATATATTTATTAAAAAATGTACATAATAATTTTAGATATTATATGATAATTATTTCATATTGTTGTCAACAAGTATTCACATTATATGTATATATATATATATTTATATAGCGTGTGAATCTGCAGCCGCTATCCTTCGGATGCACTCTGAATAAATATTCGGTCGAACCTAATATCTGCGAATTAGATCCGACAAAACAAATTACATTAGACGAACCATATATAACTTATGAGCTGAGAATTATGAGCATGTTTTACCTACCACATCATGTTATTTGCATGTAAAAAAGTTAGGTGTTAGCTACAATTATTGAATTCTATTTGTGTTACTAACCTTAATTAATCAGTTGTAAATTTGATGATAAACTTACTATTACCATTACATATCTATTTTTTCATTTTAGTCTATTTTAAAATAAATTGTATATTTTTATATTTTTGGTAAAATATAATTTATTAATTTTAAAAAAATATACTTAACAAATATGAATTTAACTTAATTAATTTATAACATATAATAATCTTACATCACGTAAGACTCACTCAAAATTTTTTAATTTATATTTATTTCTCAATTAATAACTATTTTATTTACATTTAAATTCTTTATTTTTTTATAAAATTAGTTTACATTAATCATAAATAAATAAATAAATTTTTTTTATTTTTATTATATAAAATTTTATTATTTACAAAATGATATACATATTATATATATTTATTGAAATATAACTTTTAAAATATCTAAATACATATTCTAATTTTTTAAATTATATATTAATTTTTATTTTAACATTACCAATAATACAACTTACATAAAATAAAAAATATCATAATATAATATTATTAACTAATTAAATATTATTATTTTAAATATGGTATTTCAAATCAAATGTATTATTTAAAATAAGATAAAAGAAATATTTATTTATGGATTATATTTATCTACATAATTGTACAATATTTTATAAAATAAATAAACTTTTTAAAATTTCAAACTAAAGTCTTAACGAATTAATTATTAGATATAGAACGAATTAAATATTAGATATTTTTATTTGTTGATAATATGAAAATAATATTATATATTAAATTTTTGTAAATTTTTATAATATGTATATAGAATCGTAACAATAAAAGAATTATATTGGACAAATAAATCTACATAAAAAAATCCAAATTATTTTTTAAATATGAAAATTCAAAATTGATATAGTTGTATTTTACTAGCTCAATCAACTTAATAACTAATTTCTCAGTAGACTTGATTGTGAAAAGTTTTTATGTTGCGTTTACTTTAGCTTATTATTTTAAATAAAAATAAATACTTCATCCGTCCCATAACAAAGTATCAATTTTTTCATTTTAGTTCGTCCCATAACAAAATATTTATTTCTTTTTTTAATATATGTACTATCTACCTAACATTAAAAATATCCTTATAACTTACAATATATTACACAAATGCCATTACTTTTATATCACACGTACTAATAAGGTTATTTTAGTCATTTCTACTTTATTCCTACTATATCTCAATATAATATTAATATTTCTAAAACTACGTGCAAAAAACAAATGGATATTTACTTTTGGGTCGGAGGGAGTATTAATATACTATTATTTACTTTTTCTTTATATATTACTAATTTATCATTTAATTTCTTCATTTCTATATATATTTAAATTCGTTTGATTGTAATTTTAAAATTAACTTGAAATAAAATATTTAATTTAATTTTTATTTAAATAATTTATAAAAATATCTTTTTTTTTTTTTTTATTGAAGACTAAAAAAATTAATAATACTGATTTTAGTTTTTTTGAAATTACAACAAAACAAAAATTTATAATATTAGTACTCCATCAGTTTGTTAAATTACTCTCACTTTCATTTTTTAGTCTATCCGTAAAATTTATTTTATTATTAATTTTGGCAAAAGTCAATAAAATAATATTTAATTATTATCTTCTATTCTAAATTTATTTACAACAAATGTCCATTACTTTTGTTATATTTTTTTTCTTATTTTTTTTTAATTTATAACTTATTTTTCATAAATACTTTTAAATATTTTTTTTTTGTTATTTTTTTAATAAAATATTTATTTTTATTAATTTATGTGTCGGATCCAAATATATAATTTTTGCGAATTCTTTGTTACATCCCAACGACTTTTCTTACAGAACAAGCGAGTGTGTATAATTACGTACCCTCTCTAACAAGTGGCGACAGCGGTGGGAATAATGCTGCACTGCCTACCGGCTACTGCCTGTGCCTAAAATCTGACGTGGCGGTCACCCATCCCTCTCAGTAGGTGGAATTTAACCGGCATATCCACTTTGACCTCCCGGTTACCGGATTAACCAGTTTTCTCACATGGGGCCCGTCTTTGTCTCAAGCTATTCAACAGAGGAACTCCTGGAGTATCACGCCAGATTCATCCACGCCATCGATTTCCTATGTCGACTGTAATTAACGGCGTGGATTCTCCCTAGGTTACGAATTCGTACTCCTATCCTAATTTTATTATAAACTCTTTCCTTTCTTCATTAAATACGCCTTGTTCCGTTTGGTCTTCTTTTCGGAAAGATTGAAAAGAAATTTTCAGACAGCCATTTCCAGTTCCCCTGTCCAAGGTTTGCTTCTGACTTAAATTTCTCCTTTCTTTTTGATTGTTTTTATTCCAGTTTTCTTTTAAATCCTTCTTCGTGTTCATCGCTTTGGTTTGGATGTTTAATTTTTTGTTATTTTGCTGGTTTGGTTTGGGATTGGATTATAGTGTTGGAAGAACAGGTTTTAAGGTTTAATTTCTGAATGTTCTGGTAATGATTTCCTATTTTTAGCTACGGTTTGTTTTTATCCTATTCGATTTTGTTTTCTTACAAGGATTATTGTTTTTTTGTTCTTCATCTTCGATGTTATTAATGTATGCTTATTAAATGTAGGTTTAGACTTTTGATTGAACTTGTTTCAACTATTAATAGAGGGCAGTCTTTTGATTTTTTAAGATTTTGGATGCTTATAATGCAATGATCGATGCTTATGGCCGTTAAGGATTTTATGGTGCTTTAGGAGATTACCTTGATTTCTTACAAATGCTTATGCTTGTTAAGGATTAGTTATTTATTACTCTACCAAAGTTATGGTGTATTTATTGTGCTAAGATCAATTGTAGCATATAATGTGTGAATAATTGTTATGTGTTGTCGGTTTATTTGTTTTATTTATATTATGTTAATAATATAATTTATTTATATGCTTTAAATCTAGTTTGATTTTTGCCGGGTCAAGGGGGCAAAGTCCCCCTTGCCTGGGTCCGAGGGCTTGGAGTGGCCTCGGCCCAAAGTTACGTAGCATTAGGCTTTTGAGTTCATATTGGGCTGAACCCGTCTGATGTATTTTTTAAATTTATTTGAATAGAATGAGAGATATGCAATCTAGACTAATTTATATGTCGTTTGTTGTTATATCATATGCTATTCGTCATTAAATGTGATGTTGTTAGCATTGTAACGAACTATAAAATTCAGCACAGTAACTGCCGTCTTTTACATTTACTTGAAGGTACAAAGCTCGACACTATGCCTAACCTCGAGGGTTCTCACAATGGAAACGTAAAAAATCAAGACTCCAGCGCATCGTCGCTCTTCGAAATCGGGGAATCGGATTTATGTAGGCTATTGGAGAGGCCGAGGCACGTCAACATCGAGAGGAAGAGATCGTTCGACGAGCGATCCTTTAGCGAGCTGTCGATCACGTCCCCGCCCCGCCAATTCTACAAAAATAGCGAGAACTCGTCCCGTGTATTCGATAATTTCGGGAGCATGTCCGGGCGGAGCACTCCGAGATCGTTTACTTGCGTTGAAGCGCATCCGATCGTCGCCGAGGCTTGGGTGGCCTTGCAACGATCCATCGTGAGCTTTCGCGGACAGCCCGTCGGGACCATTGCTGCGCTCGATCACTCCACCGAGGAACTCAACTACGATCAGGTCGATCTTTTCGAACTTTCGAACAAGTTACTTTAAGGATTTATCGTCGTATGTTCTCTTAAAATTTACGGTGACGATGGCAGGTGTTTGTCCGGGACTTCGTCCCGAGCGCGCTCGCGTTCCTGATGAACGGAGAGCCTGAAATCGTCAAGAATTTCCTCCTCAAGACTCTCCGGCTGCAGTCATGGGAGAAAAAAGTCGATAATTTCACGTTGGGGGCGGGGGTGATGCCAGCGAGTTTCAAAGTGCTTCATGATCCTTCGAGGAATAGCGAGACGATCATTGCCGATTTCGGCGAGTCTGCGATCGGAAGAGTCGCGCCGGTCGACTCCGGATTCTGGTGGATCATTCTGCTCCGAGCGTACACGAAGTCGACTGGAGACACGTCTTTAGCGGAAAGACCCGAATGCCAGAGAGGCATCAGTTTGATCTTAACACTCTGCCTGTCAGAAGGGTTCGACACATTCCCGACGCTTCTCTGCGCCGATGGCTGCAGCATGATCGATCGAAGAATGGTGAGATCGTTTATTCGTTCGAGTTCTTTCTTACATCGAATTCACGGCGAATCGTTTCGATTTTTTTTTTTATTTTTTTTTTCAGGGTGTTTACGGGTACCCGATCGAAATCCAGGCGCTGTTCTTTATGGCGTTACGGTGCGCATTGCAGTTGCTGAAGCAAGACGGCGAGGGGAAGGACTGCGTCGATCGGATATCGAAACGGCTGCACGCGTTGAGCTACCATATGCGTAGCTACTTCTGGCTCGACATCAAACAGCTTAACGACATTTACCGATACAAGACGGAGGAGTACTCGCACACCGCCGTCAACAAATTCAACGTCATGCCGGATTCCCTCCCCGACTGGGTGTTCGACTTCATGCCCAAACACGGTGGGTACTTCATCGGGAACGTCAGCCCCGCGCGGATGGATTTCCGGTGGTTCTGCTTGGGCAACTGCGTCGCGATCCTGTCGTCATTAGCGACTCCTGAACAGGCATCGGCGATCATGGATCTGATCGAGTCGCGGTGGGACGAGCTCGTCGGGGAAATGCCGTTGAAGATATGCTACCCGTCGATGGAGAATCACGAGTGGAGAATCGTCACCGGGTGCGACCCGAAGAACACGAATTGGAGTTACCACAACGGCGGTTCTTGGCCCGGTAACGTTATTTATTCTAATCCATCGATTTTTCGTCTCGAATCGAGATATGAATTTGAATTTTGACGGTTTTTTTTTTTTTTTTGGTGAAGTTCTATTGTGGCTGCTAACTGCGGCGTGCATAAAGTCGGGGCGGCCGCAGCTGGCGCGGCGGGCGATCGAGCTTGCGGAGGTGCGACTGCTGAAGGATCATTGGCCGGAGTATTATGACGGGAAGCTGGGAAGGTACGTCGGGAAGCAGGCGAGGAAGAACCAGACGTGGTCGATCGCCGGGTACTTGGTGGCGAAGATGATGCTGGAGGATCCGTCGCATTTGGGGATGATATCGCTCGAGGAAGACAAGCAGATGAAGCCGCAGATGAAACGGTCGGCTTCGTGGACGTGTTGACACTGACACGCCCCGTGTTGCCGAAAATGTGGCGATGTTTTGGTTTGTAAGGTTTTGACCCGGGCAGTGTTCTATGAAGAATGCCAAAGCTGCTTTGTTCGATCTTATTGTAAACGTCGCTTCTTTTTGTGCATGGACTGTGTTGTAATGTTGTTGATGTACTTCGTTTTGGATTTCCATGTTTTGAATTTTGACCGTTGGAATTTACAAACTATCTGTGTGTTTGTTCGGGGGTATTGAATTTCGACATGAAATTTGAATTGTAAAATTTTTTAATTGGAATAGTGGTATAATATAATATAAATAAGTGTTGATGTGATATTTTGAATGTAAAATTGATTTTTACTGTAATATATATTATAGAAAATGAAAAATAAGTATTCCTTTGGTCTGTGGATCATATTTACTTTTAGCATCATTGTACTTAACATTAAAAATATTCTTATATTTGTATAATTATTTTTTTTACAAATATTTTTCTATTAGTATTATAAAACACTAATGAAAGTATTGATATAATAATTTATATTCAAAAATCAACGTGCAAAAAGTAAATCTGGAGTTGTATTTAATTTGATATTTTGAGAGGGGGGAATTTTGATGAATAGTGTAAATCCTGGTAAATCCCCCAAACTTTATTTTTTGATATTTTTTTATTATTTTTTTCAATAACGTGAGAATTCGCCGTCATTATTCTTTAAATGCATTTTGAATAAATTCACAATCCCCGAACACTGCACATTAGACTCGACAAGGCAAATCACACTATAATTTTAGTCTAATTTATTAAAAGTGTTGTTATATCATGGTTAGTAAAAAAAATATTTTTTTTTCTAAATTTATAATTATTTTTTACTTATCTATTTGCACAAATATTATTGATGAATTCCATATATTTTTTATAAACTCCGTACTAGTGGAGTTCACTCTTTCACTCATCCCCTGACCACCTTCGGGATCGGCCCAACAATGCCAAGAGACTTTCTACACAAGGCACATTCGCAGGTCACAAGGGCGAGCCACCACCATAACCAATGCCCAATGTCACTCAGTCCACTTCACTATCTAACCGGGCTCTAATACCACTATTGAGATTATGGCCAACTTAACACTAGTATGATATTATCCGCTTTAGGTTGATACGGACGCATTTTTGTTTTGTCCTAGAGTTATAATTTGTGAACTTTGCAAACCTTTTGCTATGTTTAAACTTTGAACATATATATATATATATAATAAACATATGTATATTTAAACTTTGACAATAAATATTAATTAATATCTTCTTTTAAAGAAATAAAAGTGGTTAAAAGTTATTATAATATGTTATTTTGGAATTTTCTTATATATATATATGTTTTGATTTATTTAGTTTTTTTTCACAAAATATTCAAATTAAAAAATTTTACAATTTAAATTTTGTTTGGATTATATTCTATTTAAAAAATATTTCAATATTATATTTTATAAAATATATATATTTATTAAATTTGTGATGTAAAAAAATATTTTAAAATCTAAATTGTTGGGGATTATCTTTTGCCAATATTTGGATATATAAATTAAGGCGGCGGCTCCAGTGTTGAATATAAAATTCAACATTGTGCTGAATAGCACATCGTGTGCTACAGGACAGCACACGGGTTACCATAAACATCACACAGTATACTTTAATATTATACAAAACAACACTTGATCTAACAACATATATTCTGATACAACGCATATAATACTTGATTTTAGTACATGACATACTCTCGTACAACACACGCTATAATTATGAACTAACAGTACATGTTTTTATTACAAACAACACATACTGTATTTAATAAAGGCGTGTATTGTTTTCATATTTTACCAGTGTTGATTTGGAGAATGAGCGTGGTGCTGACTTTTCAAATTCAGCATCGTAAACTTTCCCATAAATTAAGGATGCGTTTTTTCCTAAATTAATTATGCATCGGACATATATTAAACACACTCTGCATTATAGTATGAACAAATGGAAAAATGATGGAAAAGGGTTGGAAGTTGTCAACCTCGATCATGATGGATTGGGAGTGGAAAATACAATACAAAGGAAAAAAACAGATGATTCAGACACAACCTTCCTATGAACAAACTACCTAACCCTATGGCACCCCTAAACTTAACACGTCTCATTATTAAGTTGTTTTTTTTTTTTATTAAATAAAAAATAAATAGATCCCACTATCCTTTCTAGATAAATCTTATCAACTTCTTAATATATATATATATCTATCTATATGTTTAATGAAAAATATAATACTAGTAAATTGTGCTGCAATATTTGTAATAGGATATGCATATATGTGTGAATATATTTTGGAATGAATAGGAGATTTGATTATGGCTAATTATTATCATTTTAATCAATGAATAAAAAATTGACACACAGTATATCATTTCAATTAATATTGAAATTATGTACCGACGAAAGTTGTTGATATTTATAGGCCTTTTGTATGAACATATAACATTGAAATTAATTACTATAATATTTATTGTTAATATATGTTGTTCATCATTATATATTTTTTTATTTGTAACATATTAATATAAATATCATTTTGTTATTCGGCTCAAACAAATAAAGATAATCAAACGCGAACACAAATACAAACAGATTTGCATAGACAAATTCAATCACACACAATTCATGCAACGATCAAAAATCGCACGCATACTCTATTCGGTCGCAAGAAACCTATATTTGAGGGTTACAATTAAGACAATTTCATTAAATCGATAACAAATTGAACTTATATAAAAAGTGTATTCTATCTCCTTCAAGTTGCTAATCTATCTCATCTAAGTCCCCCATTAACCATGAACACACTCCCCTCCCTTGCTCACTTATTCATACTCACCTAATCATTCAAAGAAAAAAAAAAAATTTTTTACGACTGCGGGTTCTCACGTCATAAGAAAAAAAAAATACATTTCGACGAGATTGTCTAACAAACTAACTATATACCTTTAGGAATCTACCATTTAAAATTCACTCACCAACCACTAGATTATTACAACTGATTTTATTCCTCCTATGGAGAGGACCGATCATATCTAATATGAGTTGGAGAAATAATAAAGAGTAATTCGTATTTGGGTCTTATTTGATTTTGATTCAGGATTCACAAACTCAATTAGTTTGATCATGTGCGGTTTGAGCTACTTCCAAACATAAAAAAAAAATATTAAAAACCAAAGTCCAATACTAATATTTGTATTATATTAATATAAATATTATTTTGTTAATTTATAATTCATTTAGTATCTATCTATATTGCACGGGTGTCAAGCATCGTAATTCGTAGTCACCTCCATATATATATATATTTTGAGGTCGATCATTCGCTGCTTAGAGTCCAATACAAATAGAGAGTTGATTATATATTTATGCTATATATAATTTATTTGATATATATAAAATATTAGAGGATGATTTGATAGTATACGATGAACTTGTGATCAGTAGATTATGAGTTTAAATCTTTAATATCAACAAAAAAATAATTTATCATATTATATATATATAATACTTCTTTCATTTCAAAATAATAATCTTATTTTTTCATTTTTGTTCGTCCTAAAACAATAATCTAATTTTTAATTTTGGTAACTATCCCCACCCTTTTACAAAATTATCTCCACTTTTTTCACAATAGTTATATAAAGTATGAGTATTTTGATATTTTAAAAATATTTTTATAACCACAGTCCATATAATATTACTATTCTTCAATTTTTGAGTCCATCCCAAGTGTTTGGGAGATTGGATTTTGGAATTGGATTTTTTAGGATTTTAAAGTATGGATTTGTAAATTGTGTTTGTTTGGGGGATTGAATTTTGTAATGATTATGTTAGAAGAAATTATTATTTTATTAAGAGAGATGATATGTTGATGTGATAGTTTGAATTAAATAGTATTTAGATATAATTGAAAAATAATTTTGAAATAGTTGAAATGAAAGTTAGATGTGATGTTTAAAAAATTATAAATATTTTATATTATTAAAGTTGTGTATATATTGCCTCACGTACCACCTACCAATTTGTATTTTCAATCAAGTGAATCGTTACAGTCAAATGGACTTTACGGATTGCAAAAAATCTCAAACAGGCTATCTTCATCGTAGCCTACCCTGTAAATTAGTAGAATTTTAATTTTAATTTTTAAATTTGTACAGACTCTAAGGGTTCCTTACTTTTTATTTCGCCTTGACTTCTTCGACCGGCTCTAACTAGTATGTGTGAAAGCAAGCCAATTTTAAGATAAGGTAAAATAACAGAAAATATATACATATATATATATATATATAACATAAGAGATACTCCTATGTAAGTTGTTATGCACTATTTGATGAATGATTTGTCAATTAATTTATTGAAAGCTTCCGCACTATAATTTAAAACTTTTGTTTTTGTATCTATACATTTAAATATTTTACACTTCTATATAAAATATTAATTTAATATACAAAATTTCAAAAAAAAGATAAATGCAAAATGGGACAATCACATTTAAATTAAACCCAATAATTGAAGGAGTTGAATAGGAATTTGCCTTGTCCCTATCAAAAACCTCAAAAGGGATGCAAAGAGCTTTTACATGGTTATATTTTAAATAATTAGGAATTGATCTACATCAATAAATTCATATTTATTTATTTAAATAATTTAATTTAATTTAATTTGTAAAGTTTGTTAGTCTAGGGCAACTATAAATAGGTAGTGCCTGCCTTAATTGAAGTCTCACTACAATCAACACTAGCAGCATATTTTTAAACTTAGCCATGGCCATCTCCAAAGGTTTTTTTGCAATTGTACTTTTGGCTCTCGCATTTGTACTCTTTGTTCAAGGAGAAAATGAGGTACCAATAACTTGTATATTGATTTTTTAACTCATATTTATAATTTCATATCAAACATCTATTTATATTCGTAATATATATGTATTTAATTTTTTATAATTCTAATGCCAATAAAAAATTTAAAATACTTTGTAAAGGCAACCTTATGTTTTGGGTGTGTTTGATTTTATATCTTTGTTTTGAATTTTTATTTATATAATATTTGAAGATATATTGTAAGATGAAATATTATATAGGAAAAAAAATATTTTTCTTTTAATATAACCAAAATTCATTAATTTTGATCCCAATATAAAAATTTTATCAATTTTGGTTCCAATATAACCAAAACTCATTAGTTTTGGTCTCAATATAAATTTTTTATCAATTTTAGTTTCAATATAACCAAAACTCATCATATTTTGTCCCAATATAATCAAACTTTATATTTTTTTGTCTCACCGTTAACAAATCGACGGAAAACGTTGACATGAAAAGAAATCAAATCTTATATTTATATTCGAAGAAATTACACAATCTTGCAAGTTCACGTCAGCATTTTCCATCGGTTTGTTGACCGTGGGACCAAAAAAAATAATGTTTGATTATATTATGACAAAAAAGGATGAGTTTTGGTTATATTGGAACTAAAATTGATAAAAATTGGGACCAAGAATGATGAGTTTTTATTATATTGGGACTAAAATTGATAAGATTTTTATATTGGAACTAAAATTGATAAGAATTTTATATTGGGACCAAAATTGATGAATTTTGATTATATTGAGACCAAAAATAATTTTTTCCCTATTATATATATATATATATTTATAGATAATTGCGATGAGATAATATAAAAACAAGTGAACTTTTTATTAATATTATCATAAGAGTATATATGTTGGTTTAAATAATTAAACAATAAATTAAAGGCAATTAAATTGAATATTGCTATTAAAATAGTCTTAAATGAGCTTGCAAACCATGTTATAGTTTGTATTAATGAAATAAAATTAATCTTATTTATGGTTAATTGAAATTTGATTTTAGCTTTTTTTCTATCTAATTTTTTATTAAAATACTGTTCGGTTTTTTTTTTTATTTTTTTATTTTATTATTTTATTTATGTTATATAGATTTAAAGTGAAGTAATTGTTGAATATAAATAGAAAAAATAAAAAAACAATTATACAGTAAAAAAATGTAAAAATAACAAGTAAAATCAATCCAATTTATTATAAATAAGAAAACGGACTTGAATTATATATACAAGGGTATGTGTGTTTAATCTAATTTATGTATTGATTTATCTATTTATTATTTAAAAATTCCTATGTTTACATTTTATTTATTCTTAATTTTAAATAATTTGAATTTCCTTCAGGAATTCATTGGTGTTGGAGAGAACAAAGCCGGGGAAAAAATAGGTCAGCAAAATTAAAATAACTTTTAAATATAAGATTTTTATGTCAATATTACATTTTTCAGAAAAATAAAATAAATAGTAAAAAATAAAAATAAAATACTAATGATCAAATATTTATGAAAAAAATAAAAAAATTGAAATAAATTATTCAATTTAACAGATTGCGGATCCGAGTGTGTCCGGAGGTGCCGATTGTCGTCAAGGCCCCGACTATGCCACCGTGCGTGCGGGACGTGCTGTGCGCGATGCAACTGCGTCCCACCGGGAACTGCTGGGAATAAAGAGTTGTGCCCATGCTATGCCAAAATGACTACCCATGGCAATAGGCTCAAATGTCCCTAAAAATTAAATTAACTCATATATATATATTACTATTTAACTTTTTTTTAATAAAAATTATATCTTGGCTTTCAAATTTTAGTTGCTGGTTTTGAACTTATTAGAAAAATGGTTGAGAAAAATGCAAGCTGGTTTTAATTGAAAGCTGTAATGTATTTTTAATTATATATATAAGAATAATAAATAATACTATTATATTGAATTTATAGATAATGCGATACTAATTTAATTATGTAATTTATATGGTTATATATGTGTAATAATATAAATAATATTGTACCAAGGATGGACAGACTGCGAGTTTTTTTTTTTTTTTTTTTTTATGACGTGAGAATCTGCAGCCACTACTCGAAAGTACATTGGGTAAATCCCAGTCGAACCTAATACCCTGTAAACCAGACCCAATAAAAAAGTCACTGAGAGTTCTTTTTTTTTTTTTTTTATTGGAAAGATCAGGGATTTTAGATATAAATAATGAATAAATAGTAGATACAAAATACTCCGGGCATCCCCGGGAGATCAACCAAAGCTAAGGCCTGGACATACAAATAACGAAATTAAGGTCTGCACGCAGGCAGAGACGGACAAAAGAATCAGGGGATTCTTTTTTTTTTTTTGATCGGAATCAGGGGGATTCTTTTTTTGATTTTATGTATTGTGGTGCATGACCGTTCTTAGTTGGTGGAGCTTAGTTGGTGGAGCGATTTGTATGGTTAATTCCGTTAACGAACTAGACCTCAACCTGACACCAAATTTGTCCTCCAATAGATTCTCATTAAGGGATTTAGATTGTACTCATTCTAATTACCAGACTCTTAGAGCACGGTATTGTTATTTATTGTCAATGACTTGGATTGTTATTAAATAATTCTGCTATTATACTGCCTTGATTATTACTTTGATATAAACCAATAGACTTATTTTGATTTGTGTTTGTACTGTTAATTGGTTAGATGTCACATTTTATAAACTACAATAATATATATATATATATTTATTACTAACATAATTCTTTCATATATAAATAAATAAATAAAAATGTCAATCTAAAAACACTAAGATAAGAAACCCAACATCACATTAAAGCTAATTAATTTTTACATAAATTTTAAATATATAATTACACATATTATTATGTTATATATAAAATATGCATAAAAAAAATTATTTATATAACATCTAGGTTTGTTTGTCTAAATTATTTTTTAAATTTTCAATATATATATTTTTATTTTCATAAAAAAATCAAATAAAACACTACGGTGTGGTTATTTTATGAAATAATTTTAAAAAATATTTTTTATATGAGTAAAATAATGTATATATATAATATATTAATTTATTTTATTTTTTATGAAATAGTACTATATTGATTTTGTTTTTGGGTGTGTTTGTTTGGGGATTGAATTTACACTATTCATCCAATTTTTTTTCAAAAAAATATCAAATCATATACATATTTTTTATTTTTTATATTATATTAAAAATCAATTTTACATTCAAAATATCACATCAACACTTATTTATATCACATCATACAACTATTCAAATTCAAAATTTTTACTATTCAAATCCCAACTCAAAATCCAAATCCCCAAACAAACACACAACACGCACCAAACAAATTCCTAATAATTATTTAAATTAAAAATTTATTATTTTAAAAAACATACCAAAACAAACCCAAACCCACAGATAATTTCCAGCTAATAATGGGCAGAACTTATGGACGCCTTTATTGAAGCCTGTTTGGTTGGTGATTCGTCTTTGGGCCGATTATGGAGATAACTGTCGAGTGCTGCCATGCCTCCACAATTCATACTTTGCTTCTTTGGGCTGAAACTGAATTCATTACTGCCGCTACCTAAGGTAGCCATCTCTGCTAATCTACGTTTAATTGTAATTGTTTATTGTATTTGTGGTGCAATCTCGTTCAATTCAGCGCTATACATTGGTCACTTCCATGAATATTTTCTACATAGACTGCGGTTGACTGGTAAGAGACGCCAACCGCAGCAGCGAGGAGCTGGATCAATTGCGATTCAATCTTCGGAAGGAAGCCTCTTGCTGGAATTTCACGAGGTAAGATTCGTCCAACCTTGTTCGAATTAGCAATTTATGGTGTTATGCTTTTCAATGTTCACCAATCTGTAAAGAAACTGCTGTAATTGCGTTCCGCGTAAATTCGACGCGAGGAAGGTTTGGTGGAAACTGAGCTGTTATGTTTTATTGTTTTTTGGTCGCGACTTTTTCGATTAAATTGATTGGAATATGAAACAAATTCACAAAGCGATTGGAAAAATTAGGAAGTGTGATGCTTTTTCTACGATGTTTGGAGTTCATTGACGTGTAGTTTCATTTACTTTTTCATTTTGCAGTTGCGGATTAGAGAAAGGTAGCTGATGCAGACAAGACTGACACTGCTAATTCAGAACTTCTCGTTTAATTCACATACTGAATATTCGATTATGGGAACAAACTTGTTCCAACCATTGGTTGCAGCTGTAATTTCAGCTGCAATTGCCATTAGATCGTATAGGAGGAAGTCACTTGACCTCTCTGGAGCCATTGCCGGCTTCGTTGTCATGACCATACACATTGCTGTGAATTACAGGTCCTTCGGCTACTTCTTGTAATGAAAATGTTTGATTTGTGTGTGTATGTATGCAAATTGTAGGATATCTATTGCATGCTTTTGTTGCTTATAATATTTACTGTTCTATGATTATTGGTGTGCAATGTAGGTTTGGAGCTGCTCTGCTTGTTTTCTTTTTCACCTCTTCCATGTTTACAAAATTTGGAGAGGAAAAAAAGAGACAAGTTGATGCTGATTATAAAGAGGGTGGTCAACGCAATTGGTATATTCCTTTCTTTTTTTACATGAAAGTGGCTTTCTCTCACATACAATTGTCACCGCATATGTTTATGGTGCATTTGTTTTGTCAACGGGCTTCTTCTTTACAAGCAGAATGTGATTTTTATCGTTTAACTGAAATGTTTATAAAACAACTGAATGGTGAATCATATATCTACTGAATGGTGAATCATATATCTGTATCTAATTTATCACCATGTAGAAAAGGTAGAAACTTATTAATCTGGAGCACTTAATAAGATAAAACAATTCCTCATATGTCTGATTATCCAGCAAACTTGAAGACCCTCCTTTTTTCTTTTCTTTTGTTTTTTGTTGCTACATTGCTTCAAGAAATTTCAAATTCCATTCTTTGAATTAACCAATTTTTTATCCAGTTAGCAGAACTGGTCATTACTTTTTGTTGTCTGTAGAATATTAACTTTTATGATGTTAGTCCTCACATCCTTTTAACAACTTTTTGATCTATATTAATCCATGATGACTCATTCCCTGCCACTGTTTGGAAAATCTTTGTCAACATTGTAGTTCAAATCTCTTGTTTTCTTATTTTACACTGTCCTTTTTATTGGGAGCCGAATCTGAAATTCATTCTCTTTCTGAGTAATTTAAGTTCAGACCCTCTCATCCTTCTTTCATACCATTGTTTAATCCAAATGGTGCGCATGACCTGTTAGTTGTGAACTATTAGAAATAGATAGTGTATGATCCCGTGCTGTATCCCTCAAAAAAGAAAAAAGAAATGAAAGTAGATTCATGGATACTTGAGCAGAATTGAATCTACCCTTTTTCCATCATATATCATGTCTGCGATCGATCCATTTGGCTTCAGCTCCATTGTTCTGCAAGTGTCTTCTTTACAAATAAGGCCCAGAATAGAAGCTTTTTTAGTCTTTGATTTTTGGTTGTTCTTTGCAGGATACAAGTTCTGTTTAATAGTGGCATTGCAACAATTCTGGTTTTGATTGCCTGGAAACTAATGGGTTCTAAAGATTATTGTTTAGATTCAAAAGAATCAGGTCCAGTAACTGCCCTAATTGGTGGCATTCTTGGTCACTACTGTTGCTGCAACGGAGACACATGGTCTTCCGAACTTGGAGTTCTCAGCCAGGACCAGCCACGGTTAATTACAACTCTCAAGGTGGGAGATATTCACCCATAATCTTGCTTAGCTAAACTCCGTCTTTATAAATCTTTTTCCTCGTTTCTTCAAATTATCTGCTACTACCAAAATCTGTTGGTTTTCTTTTTTTTTTGGGGCATCAAATCATTAAAAATTCATGGACTTCAGTTGGATGTTTATCCTTCTTTTGTGTGTGTGTGTTCACATGCTTTTAATTGGTTGTTTTTGTGATTGTCAATTATTCATAGAATTTCCACTTAATATTGAGCCATGTAGAATTTAATGGTGTGGTTATTGTTTGTTTGGTTTTAGTTTGAGATTGTAGTTTTGATTTAAGATTTGGTTTAAATAGTACTACCTCCGTCAGATTCTAAGGTCCCGTTTACCTTTGTGTGTTCGACTTTTAAATATTAATTATTATATCAAAATATAATACAAATTAAGAAAAAATTGCAAAAATAATTTCATTAGTGTAAATATAAGGATATTTTTAATGTTAAAGTACAACGACGCAAAAGATAAATGTAACCCCTTATAGGCTGACGGATGAAGTATCTTAATATGATATTCTATGAAATAAAATAACGTATTTTTATTGAAAAAGTGTGCGACGATTTGGGTTTGATAACTTAGGTTGTTTCTTATTTTAGTTTTTTAGAAGTTAGATGTAACATTTGTATAGAGTTCAATCATAGTTGAAAATAATGTTTTTAGCTGTGATTTGTTTTTTTCTCTCACTTTTGATCAGCCAGTTCGAAAGGGCACAAATGGCGGCGTGACAAAGGCAGGACTTCTAGCTGCTGCAGCCGGAGGCAGCGTGATCGGTCTGGCATTATTTATCTCGGGTTTACTCACCTCCAACTGCCCTTTCAACGTAACTCTGAAACAGCTACTTCTAATTCCAGTCTCCGCCATTGCTGGATTATGTGGAAGCCTCGTAGATTCAGTACTCGGCGCAACCCTCCAGTACAGCGGCTTCTGCACCGTCCGCAATAAGGTAAAAAAAAAAAAAAAACAAGAACACACTTCATTCCCATCCCAAAGCTCAATCACATTCTAAGTGGATTGCAAAACCATGCAGGTTGTCGGAAAACCAGGGCCGACTGTGAAGAAGATATCGGGGCTGCGCATACTCGACAACAATGCAGTCAACCTTGTCTCTATATCGCTGACGACGGCGCTAACTGCCTTCGCTTGCTTGTTCATTTTCTGAGACCATATCCAAGTATATCACTTTCCCAATCATCATTGTCTTATTAATTATGTGGCCTTTTAGAACATATGTGCTTTGCTGCGTCGAACCGTTTTGTAAGAAATGAAATTATTCAAGTCGGGTTGACTAATAAGGGTATTTCACTGAATTTTCCGGAACTTTTACTCTTTCGCAACTCCTGTGTTGTATGCAAGATGTTGTCTAATTAGTTTACTGAATGTGAACACGTTTAGACAAAAGAAAACTCGTAATAAGGATTCTATAGGTGAACCTGCGAAAGGATCATTTTCGATGTCCGACAGACAGCAGCGAACTCGTAACCCGACGTACGAAGGCCGCACAGCTGTCCATCGAGACAGAGTGGGCGTCCCAAAAAATACCTGCACGGATTTTCGTGATTATGTAGGCATCAAAAAGGGATTTCCTGGGATGCACGTCACGGCCAAAAATCGCGAACGACGACCATGTCCGCCGTTCACGGACCCGTCGTCCAGCAGTATATTGGGAACGAGGATTCGCGCACAGCGCTGACGGACCCGCGTCATCGCGAGAAGTCCAACAAACTTTATCGTTTAGAGAAAAGAGAACTCGTAACAAGGAGTCTATAGGTGAACCTGCGAAAGGATCATTTTCGATGTCTGCCCCGACAGACAGCAGCGAACTCGTGACCCGACGTACGAATGCCGCACAACCGTTCATCGAGACAGAGTGGGCGTCCCAAAAAACTCCTGCACGGATTTTCGTGAATATGTAAGCATAAAAAAGGGATTTCCTGCGATGCACGTCGCGGTCAAAAATCGCAAACGACGACCTTGTCCGCCGTTCACGGACCCGTCGTCCAGCAGTATATTGCGAAGGAGGATTCGCGCACAACGCCGACGGACCCGCGTCATCGCGAGAAGTCCAACAAACTTTATCATTTAGAGAAAAGAAAACTCGTAACAAGGATTCTATAGGTGAACTTGCGAAAGGATCACTGTCGATCTCTGCCCCGACATACAGCAGCGAACTCGTGACCCGATGTACGAATGCCGCACAGCTGTCCATCGAGACAGAGTGGGTGTCCCAAAAAACTCATGCACGGATTTTCGTGAATATGTAGGCATAAAAAAGGGATTTTCTGCGATGCACGTCGCGGCCAAAAATCGCGAACGACGACCTTGTCCGCCGTTTACGGACCCGTCGTCCAGCCGTATATTGCGAACGAGGATTTGCGCACAGCGCCAACGGACCCGCGTCATCCCGAGAATTCCAACAAGCGTAATCGTTTTAAGAAAAGAGAACTCGTAACAAGGATTCTATAGGTGAACCTGCGAAAGGATCATTGTCGACGTCTGCCCCGACAGACAGCAGCGAACTCGTGACCCGACGTACGAATGCCGCATAGCCGTCCATCGAAACAGAGTGGGCGTCCCAAAAAACTCCTGCACGAATTTTCGTGAATATGTAGGCATCAAAAAAGGATTTTTTGCGATGCACGTCGCGGCCAAAAATCGCAAACGACGACCATGTCCGCCGTTCACGGACCCGTCATCCAGCAGTATATTGCGAACGAAGATTCGCGCACATCGCTGACGGACCCGCGTCATCGTGAGAATTCCAACAAGCGTTATCGTTTAGAGAAAAGAAAACTCGTGACAAGGATTCTATAGGTGAACCTGCGAAAGGATCATTGTCGATCTCTGCCGCGATAGACAACAGCGAACTCGTGACCCGACGTACGAATGCCGCACAGCCGTCCAGCGAGATAGAGAAGGCGTCCAAAAAAACTCCTACATGGATTTTCGTGAATATGTAGGCATAAAAAAGGGATTTCCTGCGATGCACGTCGCGGCCAAAAATCACGAACGACGACCATGTCCGCCGTTCACGGACCCGTCGTCCAACGGTATATTGCGAACGAGGATTCGCGCACAGCGCTGACGGACCCGCGTCATCGCGAGAAGTCCAACAAGCGTTATCGTTTAGAGAAAAGAAAACTCGTGACAAGGATTCTATAGGTGAACCTGCGAAGGGATTATTGTCGATCTCTGCCCCGACAAACAGCAGCGAACTCGTGACCCGACGTACGAATACCGCACAACCGTCCATCGAGACAGAGTGGGCGTCCCAAAAAACTCCTACACGGATTTTCGTGAATATGTAGGCATCAAAAAGGGATTTCGTGCGATGCACGTCGCGGCCAAAAGTCACGAACGACGACCATGTCCGCCGTTCACGGACCCGTTGTCCAGCGGTATATTGCGAACGAGGATTCGCGCACAGCGCTGACGGACCCGGGTCATCACGAGAAGTCCAACAAGCGTTATCGTTTAGAGAAAAGAAAACTCGTGACAAGGATTCTATAGGTGAACCTGCGAAAGGGTCATTGTCGATCTCTGCCCCGACAAACAGCAGCGAATTCGTGACGCGACGTACGAATGCCGCACAGCCGTCCATCGAGACAGAGTGGGCGTCCCAAAAAACTCCTACACGGATTTTCGTGAATATGTAGGCATCAAAAAGGGATTTCCTGCGATGAACGTCGCGGTCAAAAATCGCGAACGACGACCTTGTCCGCCGTTCACGGACCCGTCGTCCAGCCGTATATTGCGAACGAGGATTCGCGCAAGCGCCGACGGACCCGCGTCATCGCGAGAAGTCCAACAAGCGTTATCGTTTAGAGAAAAGAGAACTCGTAACAAGGATTCTATAGGTAAACCTGCGAAAGGATCATTGTCAAATGTCTGCCCCGACAGACAGCAGCAAACTCGTGACCCGACGTACGAATGCCGCACAGCCGTCCATCGAGACAGAGTGGGCGTCCCAGAAGACTCCTGCACGGATTTTCGTGAATATGTAGGCATCAAAAAGGGATTTTCTGCGATTCACGTTGCGGTCAAAAATTGCGAGCGACGACCTTCTCCGCCGTTCACAGACCTGTCGTCTAGCAGTATATTGCGAGCGAGGATTCGCGCACAGCACCGACGGACCCGCGTCATCGCGAGAAGTCCAACAAGCATAATCATTTTAAGAAAAGAGAACTCGTAACAAGGATTCTATAGGTGAACCTGCGAAAGGATGATTGTCGACGTCTGCCCCGACAGACAGCAGCGAACTCGTGACCCGACGTACGAATGCCGCATAGCCGTCCATCGAAACAGAGTGGGCGTCCAAAAAAACTCCTGCACGATTTTTGTGAATATGTAGGCATCAAAAAGGGATTTCCTGCGATGCACATCGCGGTCAAAAATCGCGAACGACGACCCTGTACGCCGTTCACGGACCCGTCGTCCATCCGTATATTGCGAACGAGGATTCGCGCACAGGCGCTGACGAACCCGCGTCAACGCGAGAAGTCCAGTAAGCCTTATCGTTTATAGAAAAGAAGACTCGTAACAGGGATTCTATAGTCGAACCTGCGGAAGGATCATTGTCGATGTCTGCCCCCGCAGACAACAGCGAATTCGTGACCCGACGTACGAATGCCGGTCAGGCCGTCCATCGATACAGAGTGGGCGCCCCAAAAAACTCCTGCGCGGATTTTTTCGCGAATATGTAGGCAGCAAAAATGGATTTCCTGCGATGCCCGTCGCAGCGAAAAATCGCGAACGACGACCCTGTACGCCGTTCACGGACACGTCGTCCAGCCGTATATTGCGAACGAGGATTCGCGCACGGGCGCTGACGAATCCGCGTCAACGCGAGAAGTCCAGTAAGCCTTATCGTTTATAGAAAAAAGGACTCGTAACAGGGATTCTATAGTCGAACCTGCGGAAGGATCATTGTCGATGTCTGCCCCCGCAGACAACAGCGATACGAAGTACGAATGCTGGTTAGGCCGTCCATCGAGACAGAGTGGGCGCCCCAAAAAACTCCTCTGCGGATTTTTTCGCGAATATGTAGGCAGCAAAAATGGATTTCCTGCGATGCCCGTCGCGGCCAAAAATCGCGAACGACGACCTTGTCCGCCGTTCGTGGACCTGTCGTCCAGCCGTATATTGCGAACGAGGATTCACGCACGGGCGCCGACGGACCCGCGTCAACGCGAGAAGTCCAGTTAGCCTTATCGTTTATAGAAAAGAGGACTCGTAATAGGGATTCTATAGTCGAACCTGCGGAAGGATCATTGTCGATGTCTGCCCCTGCAGACAACAGCGAATTCGTGATGCGACGTACGAATGCCGGTCAGGCCGTCCATCGAGACAGAGTGGGCGGCCCAAAAAACTCCTGCGTGGATTTTTTCGCGAATATGTAGGCAGCAAAAATGGATTTCCTGCGATGCCCGTCGCAACCAAAATTCGCGAACGACGACCTTTTCCGCCGTTCACGGACCCGTCGTCCAGCCGTATATTGCGAACGAGAATTCGTGCACAGGCGCCGACGAACCCGCGTCAACGCGAGAAGTCCGGTAAGCCTTATCGTTTATAGAAAAGAGGAATCGTAACAGGGATTCTATAGTCGAACATGCGGAAGGATCATTGTCGATGTCTGCCCCCGCAGACAACAGCGAATTCGTGACGCGACGTACGAATGCCGGTCAGGCCGTCCATCGATACACAGTGGGCGCCCCAAAAAACTCCTGCGCAGATTTTTTCGCGAATATGTAGGCAGCAAAAATGGATTTCCTGCGATGCCCTTCGTGGCCAAAAATCGCGAACGACGACCTTGTCCGCCGTTCGCGGACCTTTCGTCCAGCCGTATATTGCGAACGAGGATTCACGCACGGGCGCCGACGAACCCGCGTCAACGCGAGAAGTCCGGTAAGCCTTATCGTTTATAGAAAAGAGGACTCGTAACAGGGATTCTATAGTCGAACCTGCGGAAGGATCATTGTCGATGTCTGCCCCCGCAGACAATAGCGACACGACGTACGAATGCTGGTCAGGCCGTCCATCGAGACAGAGTGGGCGCCCCAAAAAACTCCTGTGCGGATTTTTTCGCGAATATGTAGGCAGCAAAAATGGATTTCCTGCGATGCCCGTCGCGGCCAAAAATCGCGAACGATGACCTTGTCCGCCGTTCGCGGACCCGTCGTCCAGCCGTATATTGCGAACGACGATTCACGCACGGGCGCCGACGAACCCGCGTCAACGGGAGAAGTCCAGTTAGCCTTATCGTTTATAGAAAAGAGGACTCGTAACAGGGATTCTATAGTCGAACCTGCGG